AAAGCAGCTTCGTAGATTAGTAACCATCAGATAGGTACAGAAAGAAGAAGTTAACCAACAAAGTCAAAAGGTGTGAGATCGTCTCATGCATGACCTTTATTATATTTAATTGTAGTTAATTTTCACTTATGAAACTTTTACAGAAAAAAATAACTTTCATAATTGCTTTTACAGCTAAGGGAATATTTGTTTTTTTGTTTTTGTTTACAACGTAAATAGGGGCCATTATCATAACCGGATATAAACTTTCGTATAGCTGCTCTTACACACTAGTAATTTAGTACCATGATCCAACAAGCTACAACTTCAATCGTTATTTTGATCAAAAAGCTACGTCATTTTGTTACCTGATTTCACATAGCTTGTCTGATTAACTTCATCTTGAAAATAAGTCAAATGAAACTCTGTACCGGAGCCGATAGCTCTAGTTCATATGCAGCTTGGTAAAATTCTGCAGCTTGCTGTGACAAGCCTTGCATTTTGGCAACCTGCCCTAGCTTCATCCAGGCATCGTGATTTCTCGGGTCTAATTTTAAGGCATTCATCAGAAAACTTTTGGCGGTTGCAAGTGATTCACCTCCGGATTTCATCATAACATCTGCTATAGAAACAATGCTGGGCAAGTGATCTGGTTCGATCGAGAGCGACATAAAGGAGGATACTAGAGCCTCTTCACGAACTGATTTAGCCTCCAGACACAAACCTGTTTCTTTCCGGAGAATAAAATCTGATGGATCTTGCCTTCTCCAGACATCTGACCACGAACCTAGCGTTCTCTAGACAGAGGCCAGGTCTTGCCAAGCTTCTGTTTCAGATTTCTCTAGCAGAGTCTTGAATTGTTCAGATTGCTCCTGTGCCCGGATTAGGGCCAGCAAACTGATGCATGTCTTCATTGCCTGCTTAGGTTGTTCTTGAGCCATCTGAAGCACAGCTTTCAACTTCAGAAGCTCTAACTTTTCGATGTCACCAGCCTCTTCCATGGTAAACTCCAGAATAGATTCAGCATCCCTAAGCCGTTTCTCCGCTGAAAGGACCCTAGCTAAATGTTGCCATCCTCTACTTGAAACTCCTCCCACCATACTAGAATACTCAACCGCACCATCCAATGCCGCCTGAAGATTTCTTTGAACTCCATTCTCAACACTTAAGTTAAAATATAACGTCTGGTTCCGAATCATCCTTGGCCCTTTTTGCTGCTTCATTTAGAGAGATTAGCGATTTCTTCTGAAGAAGAACACGTTCAGAGTCTAACCTGGAACTTCTTGCTGCGTTTCCATAGCATACACCAAGGAACCTGTGTGCTTGGCTCAGAAGATGTTCACTCTGATTGTTTGCCAAGTCGAGTATCTTATGAGCAAAATTTATGCCATCCCTTGAGTGTTTTGGATCTTTAGAGCACAGCTTTGCTCCAAACAGAGATTTATGCCATCCCTCTAGTGAACTAGCTTTAAGGAAGATTGCTTCAAGAAGTAAACTAACTGAATGCATGGACATTGAGGTGGGAGATACAATAACAACTCTGGAGCGTGGACGAGTAGTCTCTACAATGGCTTTGACGATCCTCGGAGTCAAGACCCTAATGTCAATCCCCTTAAAGACCTGAAGCGCTGCATCAAAATTCTCTCTCTGGTATTCGAGTCTCCCCCTAGCTTCCTCATAGTTGAGTGAGAGAGCCTCCTTCAAAGTGGATTCAGCTTCATCGACTTGAATCTCTTCCCAATCGCGTCCTCCGGTTTCTGTAAGAAGAGAGGCCACTAGCTGAGAAATCTCTTGTAGCTAGGGATTCCGGCGAACCAGGCTGCTCCTCGAACCTGAACTGTTCGCCTGAACATCGTCTCCGAGTGGATTCACAGATCTACGAGAAACGCGAATTTTGTTAAGCAAAGCGGAGATCAGAAATCGAGAAAGGGTTGTTTGTCATTTTGCTCTCTTCCCGTAATGTTCATGTCAGTGTAAGCAATAAGCAATGCCACCCTGTGATTTCCTCTTTTTTTCCCTTTAAAAAAATTAAATTTGGGGGAATATTTGTTTAGGAACACACATTAATGGAAGATGTGAACATGTGAGACTTTTATGTGAGTGATCTTCTTCTAATTCTTGATGCATCATGTCTTGATTGATTTTTTTTTGGTGAGAGTAATAATAACTTACTAGATTTTGACCCACGCCAAACGTGGGATTAAATACTTAATTATGTTTTCTAATCGATTTTAATATTTAGACGTGTATTCTAATATTTATAAATGTACAAAATGTTATGTATACCAAACATATTTTAATGTCATATGTTTTGATCAATTTTGCATAAAAATATTAAAACAAATGCAAATGTTATTTATTTCAATTTATTTGAAGTGTAAAATTAATTTTTATTATTTGTGTAAATTATAAAGTATGCGATAAATCAAATAAATTTGTTAGTATAACAAACAAAAAATATATGTTTTTTATATTAAAAAAAATGAATTTTTATTTTTGAATATTCTAATTCCGTGTTTAACGCATGTCAAAAAATTTAGTAGTCATTGAAAAGAAAATAAGATGTTCTCACA